CTACAATATGATATTAGTTTCAGATGTACAGCATAATAATTCAATGTTTTTATAGAGTATACTTCATACAGTTATTATAAAATATTGACTATATTCCCTGTGCTGTACATGGCATCCTTGTAACTTATTTACTCTATACCTTGTAGTTACACATCTGAATCCTATCCATTTATTTTACCCCTCCCTTTACCCCTCTCCCCTCTGCTGCTGCTGCTGCTAAGTCGCTTCAGCAGTGTCCGACTCTGTGCAATCCCATAGACGGCAGCCCACCAGGCTCTCCCATCCCTGGGATTCTCCAGGCAAGGACACTGGAGTGGGCTGCCATTTCCTTCTCCAATGCACGAAAGTGAAAAGTGAAAGTGAAGTCGCTCAGTCGTGTCCGACTCTTAGCGACCCCATGGACTGCAGCCTACCAGGCTCCTCCATCCATGGGATTCTCCAGGCAAGAGTACTGGAGTGGGGTGCAATTGCCTTCTCCAATCTCCCCTCTAGTAACCACTAATTTGTTCTCAAGATTCATGACTATTAAATGAACATTTCAGTTTAGTTAAATGCAGTGAAAAATTAATGAGAATGTGCATATTTATGGAGGTAGAAAATGTGCTTTGGATTAATTAACTCAAAATTCACCAAGGACCTAAACTTAAGAGCTAAAACCATGAAACTCTTAGAGGAAAACAATCCAATATCGTCTCAACATTGAATTTGGCAATGGTTTCAAGGCTATGACACCAAAAACACAGAGAACAAAAGAAAAAATAGATAAATTAGGCTTCATCAAAATTAAAAGCTTTTGTACATCAAAGATACTATCAAGAAATTGATAAGACAACCTACAGAAAGAGGGAACATATTTGCAACTCACGTATCTAATAAGGGATTCATATCCAGATTATGTAAAGACCTCTTACAATCAACAACAGTAAAAAATAAACAAGACAATTCAAAAAAAGGGCAAAAAGCTTAAATAACCATTTCTCCAAAGAAGATACACAGATGGCTAATAAGCACATGAAAAGATGTTCAACATCATTAGGCATTGCTGCTGCTGCTGCTGCTGCTGCTAAGTCACTTCAGTTGTGTCCGACTCTGTGCGACCCCATAGACGGGAGCCCACCAGGCTCCGCTGTCCCTGGGATTCTCCAGGCAAGAACACTGGAGTGGGTTGCCATTTCCTGCTCCAGTCATTAGGCATTAGGGAAGTGCAAATCAATACCACAGCGAGATACCACTTTACACCTGCTAAGAGGGTGATTAAAAAAAGAGGTGGTAGAATCACTGATGTTGATAAGATTATGGAGAAATTGAAACTCTTGTGCATTTCTGGTCAGAGTGTAAAATGGTGCTAACACTGTGGAAAACAGTTTGGTGGTTTCTCAGAACATTAAGCATAGAACTACTATTTCATGCAGCAGTTGTACTTCTTGGCATAGATGCAAAAGAATTGAAAGCAGGGACATGAACAAATACTTAGACACCCAAGTTCATAGCCACATTTTTCACAGCAGTCAAAAGGTAGAAACAACCCCAGTGTCCATTGACAAATGAATGGACAGACAAAATGGGGCATATACATGCAGTAGAATACTATTCAGCCTTAAAATGGAATGAAATCTGATGTCTGCCGCAACATGGATGGACCTTGAAAACATTCTTAGTGAAATATCCACAAACAGAAGGACAAGTATTGTATGATTTCCTTTAAATGAGGCGCCTAAAATAGACCAATTCATAGAGATAGAACGTTGAATCTACCAGAATCTAGGAGAAGAATAGAAGCGGGAAGTCATTTTTCTAAATGGATATAAAGTTTTTATTAGGGATGATGAAAAAATTTGGGGTATAGATAGTGATGATGGTTACATAGGATTGTGAATATGCTTAATGCCACTGAATTGTGCACTTTACAATCTTTAAAATGATAAATATTATCAATGGTTAAAATGATAAATATTAATATTTTTATCTTACCATAATAAAAAAAGTTTTTCAATTAAAGGTAGAATTCAAATTCTAGAAAATAATACCCAAAGATTAGAAGAGTGCTAGTAAGTGTACTATTTGGCCCTTGTTTTGATAAAGATGATTAATTGTATATGTTAAAAATGTTTAGCTAAATATGTATATTAAATTTAAGAGAAATACTAAAAGATTACAGATTCTGTCATAGCTTCCAAACTAATGGGATGGGCGATGTTTTTTAAAAACTTTACTAACACTCCAAAAAGTAGTGAAAGAGGTGAGGAAAGTCAAAGAATAACAGTGCACAGAAAAGACAAAATAAGATGGCAGAGATTAACCAAATATTTATTTTAAAAACTCACTAAAATACAGAGAATGTAAAAATGGGTAAAAAAATAAAATCCAACTATTTACTACTAACAAGAGAAGTACCTTTTTAAAATTAGCAAAAAGATTGAAATTAAGAGCATGGAAAAAGATATGCCAGGCAAATACCAATCAGAAAAAAAATGCTAGTATTGCAGAATTACAACGCTAGTATCCGACCAAAGTCCTGGACTTTTAAAAAGATCGTAGAATGTTGACTTTCAGTATCACTAATATGGCTGGCTACCAACATACATCCTGGTACTTTCTGCCTGGTATCATTCCTCTATTTTTTTCTTATCTTTCTTAAGCAGTATCTACTACATGTTAGGTAATGTAAGGAGACAAAGATGAGTACAAGCTAATTGATTACTCTATAGAATCTAATAGAGGAGATAAATCTAGTCGCTTTAAAACAAGGCAGCAAATTGTGAGTATCATCAGAGAGTTGTAAGTGATATATGATGGGAATTGGCTGTGGTGGTGGAATCAGGAAAAGACTTCATGCACATGGTATTTGAGATGGTCCTAAAAGATTGAATAGAATTTAAGAGGTGGAGGTGGTAGGAAAAAGATATTTCAGGCTGAAGAAAAACGGTGAAGTTTGGAGTAATTGTGTTTTCTGCTTTTTCTTTATAGCCATCTTATCTGAAAGAATTTCACTGGCTGTGTTAAGATTGTCTGTTAACTCCTTAGGTAGTGATTATGATCTCAATACTGATCAGCTGCCACCCTAATCAAACATTCCTGCTTATTTTTGTTTTTAATTAAACATGAATTTTATTGGTATGAGTTATCTAAAGATGGTAGTGTAAACACAATTATAAATCTTTTTATATTCAATTTTATCTGACTTGCCCTGTTGGCATAAAATTCCTATTTTATAAATTCTTGTGTATATTTGTATTCATCTGTAAATGAGGCTCAGCTACATTCTTCAATGCATAAATTACTCCCTAGTTTTAAAAAAAGCTATTTTTTAAAAGCTACACTAAGAATAGAATTTCACTAGTATTAGTTCCATTATAGCCTAGACCATGACCTAGACACCAGCCTGTTTCCCTGGAGGGGTGTGCAGTACACTTTGGGACTAATTCTTTGCTGGGTAGCTTCATAAATTTATGCTAAAATGTTATCATTTGCTAGACTTCATTTGCTGGAAATGTGGCCTGCTCCATTTACCTGTAACAGCTCATTTGCTTTATTTTTCATTTTCCTTTACTCAAGACAACAGCACTGCAAACTGCATAATTAGGTTAACACTTTCATTGCTTTTTAAAAAATCTCTCTTCTACTTCTTTGCCAGATGTTGTCCTCATACTTCCTCATAGTATCTTAGAAGTAAGATTTCTAGGCTCATTTTCCATGGGGAAAGAAGGGCATGTAATTTTCTTTTTCATACAGTGTTGTTAATATTAACAGAAAGAGGCTAATTTTATCCCAAGTGATAATATGCTCTATGTTAAAGACAGATTAGACACTTCCCTCTAAACTTGGTCAGGGAAAAGGAAAATGGATTAGATGGCTCCTGACACTTTTTTTCCTGTTCAGTTCGGAGACTCAGAATATTTTCCCCCTTTAAATAAACAAATGAAAAGTGGCATTTGGAATTACCCCTATCCCTCTATTGCTTGCCATCTTCAGTTTAATGTCTGCTTCTCTACAAAGATTAACATATTTTCCACTCATGATTTATTTGTCAGGGACTTTAGGAGTTTTCTGGAACCAGAAGTCTGTCTTTGGTAGTGATGATTACTGGATAATTGCCTATTCTTTGGTGGATTTTCCATTTTTAGATTACGCCAGGCTCTCCAGCCTGTATTTCTTTGGCAGAAGAACCCAAAGGCAATGGAGTGTGTTTTTCCCGTTCCCCAGCCCAGCTTAAACAATGACTCACTTGGGCCCCGGGGCTTTGCTTCGGACTCTCATTCACGGGCCACTTTCTACCCTCGTTTCCCTTGTTTGCCTTCAGTGTCTGTCTGGAACCTTTTATATCTTTGGCAAGTGGACTTTCCTCTAAGGTTGTTGTCAGAGAGGCATGCGGCGCCACCCCCAAACTGGAACAGACAATCCAGTGTGTTTCCATAAGCCGTGCTGCCCTTAAGGCACCTGATACAGGGCAGCTGTTTAGCCGCTCAGTCTTGCCCAGCTCTTTTGCAGCCCATCGGCTGTGACCCACCAGGCTCCTCTGTCCATGAGATTTCCCAGGCAAGAATACTGGAGTGGGTTGCCATTTCCTCCTGCAGATAGAAGATAAAAAGAATGTCTTTAAGGAAATATAATTTCAAATGGGGTACAGGGAGAAGTATTCTCCAAGAGGATATGAGTGCCAGTATCATCCAGCTAAAGACAAAGATTTCCCTCTATGTGAGATGTTCCAACAACTGATTGAAGCTTCTTTAGTGTGCGCGCGCACACACACACACACACACACACACACACACACATGAGGTGGCATTCAGAGGAATTGGACTCCAAGAGTTTCCAAAGAGATATAGTTATGTGAAGAGAATTCCTCATAGAGGGACTTGGTCTAATCTGTAGTTCAGAGTTTTGTTGGAGAAAAGATTTCTCTCCTGGCAGTTGTTCTATATATTCTTGACTTTTTATTCTAATTCCAGTCTTCTGTAACTATCCATACAGTGATGATTTCTTGCTTTTTCTCTTTGCAGTTTTAACAGTGTATGTCAGGGAACTCATATTCTTTTCCGGGAATTCAGCTTCATCCAAGCCACCCCTCACAACAGGGCATCATTCCTACGGGCCTTCTGGAGATGCTTCCGAACTGTAGGCAAAAATGGCGGTAAGTCTTCCTGAATTCTTTTCTAGCCTTCCTTTATTCCCTCCAAACTTCTTTCTTTTTGCTCAGTACAAATACTGTTTCAGTGCATGCTCTTTAAGGCTCTAGGAAGCATCACTTTTAAGGAGCTATCTGTCTGTGTCAAAGACATTGTCATCAATAGTACGCCACCGTCACCGACGATGCTTGTTAAGACCCAAGTGTAGCTGTGTGCTGTGATTCACTCACTCTTCACGGCGTCTCTGTCTGGTAGATACTATAATTCCCGCTTTACAACAAGTGAAACATAAGATCAATTTGCATGTTGTTGGTTCAGCATCTTTTGATTATAACCCAAGGAAAATATTAAGAAAAATGCTAATTGAAAATGTCTTATATTGACTGAGACTTTACTTTGGTGAGGTGAAGTGTGAAAGACCCTTACTGAGAGCTTCTTTTTAAAAAGTGACACTAGATTCTTACATTTAGACTACTAAAATAGATTAAATTACTCCAAATTTTTCAGATCTAGACTATATCAAAACCTTTGGTCGCATCTGTTTTCAAGGGCCTGTTTTTATTCCTGCTTTATTAATATTATGTGTTTTTCCAAATAAGTATTGAATGCCTTTAGGACAGTTTCTATAGGAATGTTAACTTAAAGTAGAGAGGAAGGCCAAAACTATTTTTTCATTCATTCAACAAGTATTTCTGGTAAACTTGCCATGTGCCTGGCACTGGGGTTATAGTAAGTGAATAGGTATGCTCCCTGCTTTTATTGAATTTGCAAGATTTCCTACCCTGATCTAATTGATGTTATTGCTATTTTATATATAGCCACTGAAACTTTTTTGCTAAAACTCTTTCTACCTGGTTTCTTATTAGATCATTTCACTATCCTAAGAAATAGATAAGGTAGATATTATTGTGCCCATTTTATAAAGTATGAAATTGTATAACTTGCAGAAGGATTGCACAGTAGCAAAGATAGAAATAGAACCCAGATTTACTGATACTCTATTTCTACTATTGACATGTAACTCTAGAGATCATCCATCTCAATTACACTCTTGTGCCAGTGTACTGAGAATAGTATCTTCTTCTTTACAAATGACCAGTAGGCAAAAATCAATGTGAATGAAATTTTAAGTGAACTAGCTCAGAAACACTATATCATTGGTCTCCACATAAGCTGGGAGCTGTGAGTGAATCGGTGAATTTTGTACTATTTCATCTTTCCTATCTTTCCAGAATCTATCTTTCCTAATCCTTTCTCTGTCCCTTGACCAGTCAGCAAATATGTATTGAATACTCACTATATTAAAGAATGGTGCATATAGCTAGAGTTGGTGTCTGTGAAATAGCACATGAAGATAACTGTGGAAAACAGTCCTCAGATATTCTTAATTCTTCTCATGACTTATGGATCCATGGAGCAGTGGACTATAAGCAGGTGTCCTTTTCTTTATCTTTTTTATGTGTGTGTGCGCTCAATTGCTTCAGTGGTGTCCAACTCTTTGGGACCCCAGAGACTGTAGCCCACCAGGCTCCTCTGTCCATGGGATTCTCCAGGCAAGAATACTGGAGTGGGTTGCCATTTCCTCCTCCAGGGGATCTTCTGGACCCGGGGATCAAATCCAAGTCTCCTGCATCGCAGGCAGATTCATTTACCACTGAGCCACCAAGGAATGATTCATTCAGCTGCTGAGAAGAAGCGACCCCAGATTCTCCCCATTTCTGCTGTGCTACCAACAGGACCTAGATTTTATGCTGGATATTTATTGTCATGCTTCTTAATCAGACAGTCTCTGATTCCTTAAACACCGAAGGCAGCATTTATGTCTAGGTGACCCTCAGGTTAAATAGTTTTAATATATTCTCAGTTTCTTCCAGGAAACTTCAGAACATCATTCTGTCCCAGAATGTGTCAGTTCCCAGTTTTTATCCAGAATGAGCAAAAACACTCAGAGGCATGGTTCCAAAGAAAAGTATTTATTAAGCCCCATTTTTTCAATTAGAATGCCAAGTACCAGACGCCTACTCAGTGGAGCTGCTATTATATTGTTCTCCTGCAGATAACTTCCTTAGGACATCATGTACATATTTTAGCATCGTTAAGAAGAAACTAACTCTTCTGGGAGGTAGCAAGAGAAGTGCAGAGTTCCAGCCTAACGTATCTAAAAGTGAAGCCACCTGTAGAAAAGTAAGGACCTGACCCCTTCTGGCAAGAAATGTTTTATCCCAGGTTTTAGCAAGTACGGAGATGTAGTGTCATTCCTGCATGATTGAGTACTGAATGGTGCTCATTTCCCTATGTTTGGATGTCAAATAACCTCATGAAAACTGTAGTGAATCTCTTGCTATCTAGACAACTTTAGACTCTTGGAAACAAAAAGATCTACTCAAATGTAATGAGTCTTTAAAATTAGACTTCTCACTTCAGTATTTCTTTCGATACAGAAAGATTAATCTAAATTTCCACGTCTGGCAAAGACTGAAATTCCCCTGAAGTAAATCTTTTTTTCTATTTAGGGATATTGGCTCAAAGAGCTTTTGTCCACAGTTTATTTTCACAGTTTATGAGAATTTAGTTTTGAGCTTTGTGCTTTTACCAAGGAATACATATGTTTTATTTAGTAAAATAATGATACTAAAGGAAGTGTCCTCCTGCTATAAACAACTAGAAAATCAAACAAAATGTCTGTAACAACTGTTTCAGACACTGGACCAACAATCAATGTGGAACAGTGGTCTCTGAGAGACAGTTTCCAAGTGACCATACAGGGAGATCATGAGGGTCTTACTGAGTTGAGGAGACGAGGGCTGGGGTTTAGGGAGGCCATGGTGGCCAGTATTTGCAGGGCCAAGTACTAGAGAGGAGTACGTTGCTCACTTAGCTCCAGAGAACTGCACAGAGGTATTCGAGTCTTTGGCTACAGACTATGCACATGTGTGGGTTGGAAAAAGACCCACCGGAAAACAGTAGGCAAGACGATTCCTGGCATGTTCACAAGGCTACTTCACACTTCTACCCGTTGGAGTGGAGAAACCTCACAACACACAGGGCATTGGATCGAGTCCTCAGCCACTTAAGTAAGCATCAGGCTGATCTGCAAGTAACTGCATACCAAAACAAAATTCAATACTCCTTAAAGGCATTCAACAAAATCCAGCACTCCGCAACATAGAATTCACAAAGTCTGGCATCCAGCTGAAAAGTACAGGAAGCAGGAAGATATGACGCATAACCAGGAGAAAAAATAAATCAGTATAAACACAGACTCAGAAATTTCAGAGATGGGGGACTAGCTACCTAGGACCTTTAAACAGTTAAGTCATACAGATGTACTCAAGTATGTAAAGGAAAACATGAAAATGATTAGGAGATAAATGAAAGATATTAGGAAGATCTAAATGGGATTTCTAGATATATAAAATACAGTATCAGAAGTAAAAATATTGATAGTAATAAGTTAATATTTATTAAGTAGACTATCTCATTTTTTAATCCTATGTATTAGGTAGATATACTTACAATATCTCCTCTGCACAGAAAAGGAAACTGAGATTTTTGAAATTTAAATAATTGGTCTAGGTCACACACCTAGAAGTGTGTGATCAAGGGATGCCAAAGGAGCCAGAGAAAACTGACTGGAGACAGTGTTGTGTTTTTCATGTGTAAGGTGTTCTCTACTGGAGAGTGTATAAGATGCTGGAAATACAGGTAAGTAAATGACAATGCTTACCCGCAAGGAGCTCGCGTTCCAGGAGAAGAAACAAAGTAGCCTAGAAGTAGTTTCCGTGTAGCGTAAGTGATTAGTGAAGTCTGTGTAAGAGCTGGTGATGCACAGGAGAGAAATAGTCCTTCCTGCAGAAGCTGGAGAAGGCGGTAAAGAAGTGAAGAGAATGAGGCTGGATCTTGGAATAGTAGCAGGCTATGAAGCAAAGGAATACATTCTAAACAGAAAACTCTCGCAGTTTTGAAAGTATAACATGAAGCACCATGGTTCCTTTGGGAAATGGTAAGAAGTACTATGTGGCAACAGAAAATGATGCTGAATGCTGATTGTGCCAGCCACTGAACAGAAATGTATTCACTTATTTCATTCACACTACAAACTGGAGTTGGTGTGATTGTTACCCAGTTTCTCCTAAAGAAACAGAGAAGCTAAGTGACTTGCACAGACGATATGGTTTGTAAGTAGCACAAACTGGAGTCTTCACAAGGGCCACATGTTTTTTATTGAATTGTAGTTGATTTACAATGGTGCCTTAATTTCTGATGTACAGCAGAGTGATTCAGTTATACATATATACATACTCTTTCCATTATGTTTATTTTATCTTTGTTACAAGATGTTGAATATAGTTCCCTGTTCTATACAATAGGACCTTGCTTATCTGTTTTGTGTATAGTTGTTTATATCTGCTAGTCCCAAGCTTCTCATTTATCCCTCCCCCCACTCCCTCTCCCTCTGGTAACCTAAGTTTGTTTTCTGTGTCTGTGAGTCTGTTTCATAAATAAGTTCATTTGTGTCAGATTTGAGATTCCACTTGTAAGTGCTATCATATGGCATTTGTTTTTCCCTTTTCTGCCTGACTTCCCTCACTATGGTCATCTCTAGGTCCGTCCATGATGCTGCCAATGGCATAATTTCATGCACCAAGGCCACATTCTTTTTTTTTTTTTTTTTACTTTACAATATTGTATCGGTTTTGCCATACATTGACTTGAATCCTCCATGGGTGTACATGTGTCCCCATCCTGAACCCCCCGCCCACCTCCCTCCCCATCCCCTCCCTCTGGGCCATCCCAGTGCACCAGCCCCGAGCAGCCTGTCTCATGCATCGAACCTGGACTGGCAGTTTGTTTCACATGTGATAATTTACATGTTTCAATGCCATTCTCCCATATCATCCCGCCCTCGCCCTCTCCCACAGAGTCCAGAAGACTGTTCAATACATCTGTGTCTCTCTTGCTGTCTCGCATACAGGGTTGTCTTTACCATCTTTCTAAATTCCAT